CCCCCCTCCTTATAAGCCGCATCCTGTCCATGGATTTGGCATCAATCCACGGTCAGGATTCAGTCCACCCCTAGAGTGGAGCTGGCCACCCCCCCACACACACACCAAAAAAAAAAAAAAACAGAAAAATGGCAAAAGGTTAGTTCTATTCCACTCCACCCCCAAATACCCCAGAGAGGTGAGACTAACATTAGGTAATGGTTTTATTTAAAGAAGAATCGTGCCCCTATGAAACTTGATGCTTAGAATCTATCAGAAGGACCACATATGAAAATTTTCTATGTTTTTGGTGAATGTGTTACATGTATAAATTGATTATCCAAACTTGAGTTTGTTTTGTGACACTTCCTCAATAATTAATTTGAAGTACATTGGGCCAAGAAAGAAATAAGTTAGTGTTTTGGGACCCATTTGACCTCAATGCCCAAATTGCTAACATGCCCATCCCACTCTTGGGCTGAGTTTTCTTTGAGGCATTTGGTATTTTAACTACCAACTCTTCATAGAGCACAATCATTGATAGTGTTAGTCATGTAACCATTAACACTTCACCAGTTCATCCTCTCATAAATAAAGAACTAAAAACAGTAAACATTGATTCCAGAACGAGTGTCAGTAGTTTTTAATAAGTTGGAATCTATCCACTTTGAATTAAGATACCTTAACTTGGGAAAATGTAGAGTCCACTAAGCATAAAACAAAAGTTGAGGATTAATTAGGTTAAGTTGGCACCGTAAGATGATGATGGTGTTATATAGTAGTTTACAGAAATAGCAGGACCACCATAGTTTATACTACCCCATGTTCTTCTTGACAAGATTCCCCAATGCAGCATGCTCATACAAAATTCAGGAGAAACGTGACAGAAAGGGATCAAATTGACCCAAGGCATCATTCATTCTGATCTCTGAGGTATTTACTATGGTCCGGACTCGGGGCTCTATCAATTTCTTTATTTTCTGCGGAAGTACTTTGCCAAGTCTGTCTTGTTAAGCAAATGCGATTCAAGTAGGCACATACTTTTTACATATTCCTCGGTGGTCGGTACAATTTAATCATTATTATCTTTGTTATTAGTGGTACTGGTACTAGTAGCAGAAGAATCCACACAACGGAAATCAAATCAAACAATTTGAATGGGCTTGGGTTGAAAGGCCCAAGCCCTATAAACTCCAAAATACAAAGTTTTTGTATTCTATATCCTTGTATTGGTGTACATGTACTCCTTCCAAATTTTAGAGGAAGGGCCGTTTGAAGAGTACAGCACCACACGTATAATCACCCCTTCCCCAAAATTTAGTGAACCAGCTAACATACCAACTGACATATTTAAACATCTGATTAATCTTTAGAAAGAAAATATTAAAATGTTACAAGAAAGTAATCTGTAATTAGTAACTTAAATCCACCTAATTATTAATTTAAATAAAAACTACTTAGAAGTCAGGACATTTTTCTTTGAGTTGAAATCAGACCCCCCCATACACACATAAGATAGTTTCCCATATTTTTAGTATTATCATCGGGAGATATTCCTAATACACGGCGGAGATGTACTGTGGGATGTTGTGGGAAACTTTATTGTAGGGGCTGATTTGAATTCTTTTTCTTGGTATAGCTTTTCAATTTTCATCCTAGTGAACTTTACAACGAAGGAGGAATATTAATGCTACATCCATGCATCCCAAACCATTATTCAAATCAATTACAACAATCAATAATATCCATGCTATTTGGCGTGGCCCACGTGGATTGGTGGCAATGTTACAGATCAACGGTTTGAGGTGCATGGATGGGTTTACGTGTATCAACCCCCTTCCAAGGGAATATCTGAAATCAAAGCAGGCTGAAATGCAATATTTAACCAACGGTCAGACATGAATCCTTCTGAATATCAGCGTTGGAGTAGTGGTCAAATGGATTCTAATTTATGGATGTAGTGCAAGAAAACACAGAAAAAAATTCAGCAAATCCACTAAACCACAGACCTTTGTTTTGAAAAACAGGAAAATATCCCCCAACCTTTGGAATTTGGAAAGGAAAGAACAGTTAAAGAATGCAAATTAAGCTGCAATTAACAATTCAGTGAGTTTAGTCATGCTTGTCATTATCTAAAACCGTTGCTGGTGTGACGGGGTGGGATACTGTAGCTTGCTCCTCCACCTGCATAGAACAATGGACACCCTTTTACAATCTGTATGTTGCACAAACGTGTAGAGAGCAACAGGACACCAGTGTGAGTTCAAAGATCATATTCATGCACTTTCTGTGTAAACAGAAAGGATTATGTAGCGAAGGTCATCATACATGTAGAGATGGCATGACAAGAAACTTTTTGATGAACAGGTTATCATTGATAAAAACTTCTTACATGAAAAATATCTGCCTCAGAATATATGAGAAGCATCACGTAAAACCCTAACTGTCAAATAGGCCTAGTACGTGATCAAAATGTGAACAGAAGGCATAGGATGGCAATGGTTTCTGGATGAGATAACATACATTAAGAGAAGGGCGAGCTAGGAATTTTCTATTGGGGGGGGGGGGTAGCCGGGGAGGGGGCAGCAAATACACTCTTTTAGAAAGAAACATGCATAAAAAGCTAATATAGAAACAAGTGTTTCTGCCGGTCCATGAAAGTTCCACCAAGTCACTGAACTTCTAAAGTCATCATGATATATTAATTTTATCAAATTTTATCTTCAAGATAGACTCAATCAAACAACCTCGAGGTACAAGTTGGAGATGATTGCAAAATAGAAAAGAAAAAGGAAAGACAATTAACTAAAAATCATAATTCAATTTCTAAATGACAAATATCAATACAATGGTAAACAAACTTTACAAAAAAGGCTTTATGAGAGAAATTAAGGGCATGCAAGTAAAACTGTTAAAAGATAGATCATTAGAATTAGATTTTTTTTACTGCAAATCAGAAACGAATATGTTGAACTAGGTAAAGATGATATTGCATACCTCTATGATGGAGGATTGAAGGTAGGACTAGCTGTGAATGTGATTGAGCTGCTAAAAGAAATATCATCTAGGTTGAGTTGAGTGATTCCTCTCGAGTCTCAATGGGTTGAGTGAGTCCCCCCACCTAGCCACCCTTGGGTTGAGTGATTCCCTAAGCTCTCTCTTCCTTTTGTCATTGCTTTCCTTTTTTACCATTGTAACTTCTGAATTATCATCAATAAAATTCTATCTTTGCTCCCCCTTTGCTTGCCTTTGTTCTATTTAATTATTAAACCCTTTAAAAGGAAGAGGCCTATTCCCTAAGATGCTAACAAACTATGTACTAATTTCCGAAAAAAAAATCCAAATCACCCAAAAATTATAAAATTGCCATTTCTTTGTGTGAATGAGCAAAAAATTGATTTCTTTTTCCATAGTTTCTTTCCCTTTTTCCATTTCTGCATTAATTCACCATCAAATACCCTTGTCCATCCCTAAGGCAATCAAATTTCTCTCCACATGGTAGCTTCATTCACACGTCTTTAGCTTTATTTTCAAGAAACTTGATCATTATCAACTAATTTACTTGAGAGATATTTCTTACTTAAAATCATACTTTTTAAGGCAATGCCTAGGTGCCTCATGGAAGGTTGCCTCAGTTACACCTAGATTTTTTTCTACACTTATGGGTATATACACTAGTTTCTTTTTATTATTTTCTTATGTTTAGGGTTCAACCCTTGAAGACTTCAAAACCTGAACCAATAATCAAGGAAGAATTTAAAAATTTATCCAGTCAATACATTCTTCTTCTTCCACCCTCTTTTTTCTTCCTCTCCTTTTTTGAGAGAAAAGTTAACTGATTGTTTTAAAATCTAAAAAAAGTACATGAGATGATGTACAAGGAACAACTCAGAGATTACAAAGGTAGAGCTCTATCACTAAATAATGCATCCCTAAGAGCACCAGACTTGGCTAGGTTGTCGGCTGTAGAGTTCAGCTCCCTAGGAATCCAGAGCAGTTTAACAGTTGAAGAATCCATAAGATCTACTAAAAAAAAAAAGAATCCATAAGATTTCTAGCCTCGGTCAGATAGTGAGCCAGTCTCCAAGGTCCACTGTCCCTTTCCCCAAGCCACTTTATAGTGTTAACAGAATCCCCTTTAATGACTAGAGCAGTCAACCCTTCTCTCATGCTTTTTGGACCCCTGTAAGCACAGCTAGGACCTCAGCCTTAGTGGAGCCAGCAATTCCAATAGGACCACTGAAAGCCCACCAAATGTTACCTTTCCTTTCTCCAAACACACCACCAATGCCAGCTATCCCAGGATTTCACAGAGTACTTCCATCAAAGTTTAAGGTCATCTTTTCCTCTTCCCTTTCAACACTGAAGTTGGGAATTTTTTAGTGACTAGGGGAGGAAGACAAGATTGCCACCAAATTCAGCTGAAGCTCATTCAAAGAGACTCCTATAAACTCCAAAGAATTCAGCACCCAAAGATTGCAAATAAAAGTTATGTGAGAGATCAAATCACCAAGAGAACTAGATTTGTTTTCAGAAATTCAATTGTTTCTTTCCTAGGACAAAAACAAGGGATCGGCGACTATATTTTCTGATTTTTCTTTTCTTTCTTCTTTTTTCTTCTCATGGATATGTTAACTTTCTATATTTTGACATGAAATTTATACTAATTTGATGAAATTATTGGTAATAACTAGTGAAAAATGACTGCCGGTTGCTACAGAACCTAGTGAATGAACCTAGAATTTAGGGTTTTATTTTAAAAAAATTGCCTAGATGACAGGGTGACTCCCTGTTGCCTAGCCTCGCCTTGGCACCTTGAAAGCTGTGCTTTGAGAGAAGATAACTGAATTCATTAAATATTCAAGGGGGGGGGGGAGATGTACATGAGAGGATGTACAAGCCTTTTAAGCACAACAAAAGCAAAGAGACAGCCCTCTAGGAAGGCAGTGTATTGGAGCTATACAAAAATCCCTTCCCAGCCCAGATTTAGCTAAATTATCAGCCACTTGATTTAATTCTCTAGGAATCCATCTAAAACTGCAGTGTAAATATGAGGCAAGCTCCCTGATTTCTAACAACAGATGGGATAGCTTCCATGGGTCTAGAATCTGTCCTGAAGCCCAGTTAATAACATTTCTCGAATCACCTTCCGCAGCAATGCAGCTGAACTGCTGTGATTTGGCAATTCTGAGGCCTTCCAAGAGGGCCCTTGCCTCTGTGCATCAGAAGCATCTTCTGCCTTGTCTGGACCACTATAGGCCATAGGCCCAAATCAAATCTCCATTTTCTCTTTGAACAGACCTCCAATTCCAGCCTTTGATCTTCCCTCAGTGGCTCTCCTAGAACTGCCATTGAAGTTTAGAATAAACTCACAGTCTTGTCTTGTCCTCACCTTGAAAGCTGTGCTTGAAACCTCATAATTTATCTCTCTTAAGACTCTATTTTATGCTTTCTGTAAGCCCATATAAAGTAATTTGAATATCCTTTTCATTAATTGCCCAAGTAGAAAAAGTAAACTCAATGATTGATCTCCCTGGTGCAATGCTCAACTGACTTTCTGATATTCTTGTCACTTGTTCCAGTCTTTGCTCAAACACACTAGCCAATCAAGTTTGGATTAAACAAGCTTAATCCAACAGGTTATTTTAACCACTGAATAACACATGTTAGTTTTTTTTTTTATTTATTATTTATTTATTTTTTTACTTTGGCAGCAATTTATGTAATATATCATATAATATATAAAACGTTATATATATTTTAAGTTAAATGCCTGGCACACGAGTACCCCTATTTTCAACATCAATGGCCTATTTGTAAATAGAGATACTTGACAGGGCTGCTACCTTTTGTACAGTACCTTAGTGCTGATGTAATTTACCTTTGATATATAATATTAGTAATATAATACCATACTTTATCATTTCAGAAAAAGACAAGAAATGGAGGTAAACAGTAGAGAGGGAAGAAAATAATGGATGAAATGGCTGTAAGGGAACTTGCATCACGGTCTCGCCTCTAGCTTCAGTCTCTCACCATGAAAGAACATTTCACCATTCAAAACAAGAAAGGTCCATAAAATCTTCAAGAAGTGAGCAGCAGTTTATGGGGTTGAGAAAGCCAAAGAATTGGGAATTGGTAGTTTGATCATTGAAGGTGATCCAAAGATAGTAATGGGATGGCCGAAAAAAGGTGAAGAGGGTGATTTGGCAGCTTAGAAATGAGTTAAAGTACTTCAGATGTCTTTCAAAAGATATGAATGTTCAAATAAGATGGGTAAGAAGATCTGTTGACAGTTTGGCAGGCAGTTTAGCTAAGCAAGGGGTTCAAAGACAACATATGTACCGGGCACAATTGTAATATAGTTGGGGGGGGGGGGCTAATCCTGTAATGGGTTTGCTATTTTTTCACAACTTGGTGTACTCTGTAGTCTGTTCTTTTTAATTTTTAATGAAATTCTGATTTCGTGTTGCTGATAAAAAAATCTTCTCCAAGAAATGGTTAGTTGCATATTCTTCTTACTGAAATCTTCATTGCAATTTTACACAAATAAGTTTCGAGGGAACTCCTATTCATGTATCAACCACATTTGTGGCAATAAATTAACAAAGCTTTTGGCACAGAAGGTTTTTATAAGTAATTCTTTATGTATGAATAAATTTTTCCTAATCCTCTTCTATCTTTTTTGGATCAGTTACTAAGAAACATTATTAATAAGAGAAGCAAATCATAAGTACAATAGTCAAGCCTACTTTAGACCAAAAAAAGAAAGTTAAAGCTTTAAAAAATAGATGGAAACAAGGTACAACAGCCAAAACAACTATGTTTAAGAATTCAAAAGAACAGTGCAGAATAGGAGATATCCAGGAAAAGAATATCACCAAATAAATTATTTAAAAAATATTTATTATGTTTTTTCTTACATTGATACTAGGTTTTATAAAGTTGCGTTTGGGTTTTGAGAATTAAGAAATGAAACTAATAGGTAAGCTTGTTAAGCTAGTTACAATGAATATAGTAAACAAGGGATTAGGGAAAGCTATGAAGGATGATATAGGTGAGATGAAATAGTACTGTTTTAAGAATTCTATGGAAATTGAAAAGGAAGGAAATTGGGTTTTCAAAAGGAAACCACCCGAACAGTAAAATATATCAATTTAGGTTCTCAATAGCATCGATCCAAGGTTGTAAACAGCTAGGCATATCACTCAACAGTTCACAAGAGCATCAGCCGAGTAATTCTTGGATTCCTCTTAACAATTGTATGGCTGTAGAACAGCTGGATCCTATGTTTGAGAGCTCATGAAAACAGCCAAGAACCTAAATTCCTAATCAAATTGATATAGTTAAGTTCTTAAGTCTCTTTTAACAATATTTCACAACATACCAGAACAAAAGAAAGCAACTAGGGAAAAGCCACAATTACTAGAACTAATAGGGGCCTAATAAAAACCAAGGAAATTCTCAAGAAGCATATGCATGACAAGGAAAAGAAGAAATATATAAATAATGAAAAATTTCCCAAAACTTTTCACAACTTATTAGAAATAAAAAGGGATTTACCACATATTTATGTATTTTATCGTTCGTACACAGTTTGTGGATCATTCAGACAAGTAGGCAAGTTGAAAAAAGAAGAAATAAGTATAACTTCTTTTATCTTCAAAAAGAAGAGTCTAGGGATTAGACTTACTTTTGCATCCTTCTTCGTCACCGGCTTATATGGACAAGAAGGTGGAACCCTTTCTGGTTTCCTGTATTCCCAACCAAAAAGCCGATAGATTTTTGCCTGCAAAAAAAGGGAAGATATAGAAATAAGATGAGAAGATCAACACAGATAGAAAAAATAGGAGAAGAAAACAGAGAAGGGAAAAAAAAAGCATACATCAATTCGGAAAAGGAAGAAAAAACCAGATGCAAAATGGGCATAAAACGTGTAAAAGGTATCTCACCATGATAAAATCAAAGAGCAATGGCAAGATATTGACAATTGGGACGAGGAAGAGCGGCAACAAACAAGCCAAGCAAACCTGAACAAACAAACAAAGATCAAAATCAGGAAATAGAAAAAACGCTTAAACCATCATCGAGACGGAAGAAAGGAATTACAGAAAAACAAAATAAAATATCCAAGACTCACCATCTTCAGAGCGTTTTTGGGCTCTCTTCTTAGTTCGGTAGTTCCTCCTCTCACTCTATTCTTCTGCAGGCGTAAAATTCTACGAGTACAAAAGAAGGTCGACGGACGACAAGATACAACCATCTTGGTTTTTACGCCAATGCGCGTAATTTGCTAAAATGCACCGTATGCGTAAAAGAAATTTAATGGATTGTTTTGTGGGTCCCATCATGTCTGTAGGGCGAGACTTGTACATAAGTTGGTTGTCGAGATTTTTAATTGGTTCTTCTCGGCTCAGCACCACTGCAGCACTGCTTCCTTCCGCACATCCAGGAGAGAAGGGAGAAATGGCGGCAAGAAGCGTCTCCTACATCACCAGTTCGGAGCTTCTCTCCATTAAACGTCGTCCAAACGTAGCCATCGTCGATGTCAGGTTAGCTTCTCTCTCTCTCTCTGAATTTGCTTAGTTGTTCGATTTCATGTTTTTTTTTAATGTAAATTCATAAGAAATTGATGAGTTTGTTTTGATCGATTTGAAAGGGATGACGAGAGAAGCTACGATGCACATATAGCTGGTTCTCTCCACTGTGCAAGCGATACCTTCTATGAGAAGATCCCTAAGCTCATACAAGACGTGAAAGGGAAAGATACCCTTGTATTCCATTGTGCCCTCAGCCAGGTTTCTTTCTTCTTGATCTAATTTTCTGTTTTCGTAGATTATTTGAATCGGATTTTTTTTTTGGTTTTGCTGCTCGGTTCAAAATGAAATGGGTCATCCAAAATTTTCTCTTTCTTTTCGAATTGTTCTGAATGCATTGACATTGGTTATTGATTCTTTTTAATTATTTGGATTGGATTGGGAGTGATTTACCCTTGCACATTTAGCTGAACTGTCCTAAACTGACTAATGATTCATAAGCTTTTTTTCCATTTTAAGTGGATTTTATTATCTCTGTAGTAGTCCTTAAAGATTTTACCTCGGTATTACGTCTTTCGTTTGTCCGACTTTGTTGCAAGTGTTTTATGAATGATCCCCTAGTACCTTGCTTTCCAATTAAACTCCCATGTATATCTTTGCTATACTCTTTATCTTTGTTTTTACTTTGTGAGTATTAAGGGATGAGCATAATCACATGTGACTTACATGCATTAATTCCGCATTGTTCTAGCATTTCTCTTCAAGATATCATCATCAGTTTTTTAATACGCTAAGGCCTTTCATGTTGCAAATTAGAACAACAATGGAAGTGTTAGTCCTTCTACCCATCCAACTGTAGTATGGGTACACGGATGTCATATTTTTTTTTTTTTATTCTTTTTAGGTGCTCTACTATATATCCGCTACCTTCTTCATGCCTATGCTTAAAATTTCAGCTAAGCTGAAAATCCCCACCTTGTCACATTCGTACATGTCAAAATGGTCTACTGAATTGTTGATTGAAGGAAGAAAATGAATGGTTTTGCTACTCTTCGTTATCAAATTATTGAGGCTTAATTTCTTTAACCCCATATCTCACAGTAGTTTATGCAAATGCCTTGCTTTTAGTCATGATGTATTGAACTTCTCTATAAGTAATTCCAGGTGTAATTTGTGATCCTTGAAAGTTGAAATTAGTATATTGTCTCAATCATTGTAGAGTGTGCATCATCTATCCTATGATGCCTGGACACCGACACCAAAACAAACATCGATACCAGAAAATCCATTTCCTAAAATCCTAGACACAAATACAGGCATAGATATCCCATATAATATATTTATATCATGCTTTTGTATCTAAATTTTGAAGGTAAGTTGCCTATATTTTTTCTTTCCAAAGCTAAGTGGTATTTCTCAAGACATATGTCTTGCCAATTTTAATTAAATTTCTAACATATACGGATCTTTTTGTAGTATGATTTGTTAAGACATACCATTTTACATATTACTATATGAAGTGCCCATATATGATATCCATATAACTGTACAAGGTTGTCGTGTTGTGTTGGATGCTAAAATTTTTAGTGTAAATTTCATATTCAATACCATATCTAGCCATGTCCTTGTCATATCCAGGTAAAAATAGAGGTCCATGCAGTATCTGGTGATGTGTTGGGTACATATCATGTCTAACACCAATATGCTAGGCAAGCATTATTGTTTTGAAAAATGGCAAGGTAAAATTTTATTCAATCATCAAGGATAAGATGGTAAAATGAGAGGCACGGGCCCAAAGGCCCCAAACCACAACCACAACACACACTACATTACAACTAGAGTCCAATACAAATTGCCAAGGGGACAATGAGTCACAACCCTTAATAGTAGAGACCCAACTTTACCAACCAAGAGATTGATAATCTCCTCTGGAGACCTATATTTGTTGAGAAAGATCTTTCTATTTCTCTAGGCCCAGATAGACCACAAATGACTGCAGGCACCATAGTCCACACAATGCTAGACAAGTGTTATCAATGTTTTTGGATTTTATGGTCATTGCAATGATTAGTTGGTGTGTTGAGGGCCCGGGAATAGGATCTCGTCACGGGTCGGTCCACGGGGAAAACCTCCTGTTTTCCCTTGTTCCTTCCTGCTCTTGATGAACCTATCTTGGCGCCTCTGG